GTCGCCAGCAATTTTTCGACTACCGTAAGGCTTTGGCGGACCATAGGGGAGGTTCAAGGGGAGGGGCTCGCCAACCCTGACCCTCCTGGATGATTGTTGCTTTTTTCTGCACAACCAGAGCCCTTCCCCGCAGTGGGTCCCGAATAACCTGTAAACCTGCTGAGATCAAATAACATTCATGAAGAGGAGGTTTTTTTAGCACCGTCAGTTTTTTGAGAGTGATAGTATTAATGAAGGCATGCGGGCAGAAATGTTGAGCGCAACTGAAGAATATACTCCGAATAGTTTTCGCTCTTTAACTCTCTTATTTTGGCTGTATAATATTGCTGTCTTGTTTAAGCAATTGTAGCATGCGGTACTTTTGTGGGTATTCAAAACCTCTTCAGACCTTCGGAGGGGTTCATAAATATGAGCCCCAGGGCCTTTGTTGATTTTTATCACTAAGCCCCTCTTTCACCAACACTGCTCTCCAGACCTGGGCGTATCTCTTTTCACTGCACAACCAGAAGGGACACAGCTGGCCTATGTGGGGGGAGGGTGTGCGCCGGGGCATCTAACAAATCAGTGTGTGGCATACCGGTACTCGTGGAGGGTCGCTAACCAATCTCTTGCACGGGGCAGAGCCCAGGACTGCCGGGAGAATGCGCGTCCTCTTTTCTGGACGGGGGCTGGATGTCTCACAATGTTGCATTGCATTAAGCTACCGGAACTGCCAGTAGTAAGGTTGGTATCGTAGGAGAAATCAAAGGTCTTAGTAAGAGAATGGTCTCGGCTGTTGGTAGCGGCAACCGAATGTCCCCCCGAGTAGTACGCCGGTAGATCTGACTGGCACATTATCCTATTGGATTTTGTGCGGCATGGCCCAAGTACGTGAGGTATTACTAGTAGTGAATTTGGGTCGTTTAAAACATTACAGTATGGTGGTCCCAGCACTGTATAGTAAATTTACAAGTACTCGGGTACAAGTATCATACTCATCTGCAATACCCGTACTCGAAATCGTATCGATTCCGATACGATCAACTTGGTCAAAACACGCGGGGTCGTTTACTCGGGTACACCTTCCGTCTACCTACGTGGACTGCAATTTTCTGCACACCTAGTTGCATTAAAGCCCATGCGGGGAAAGAAACTTGATCGTTGCTGAAACGGTAGCACGGGGGCTGATATACCGGTATTTGAGAAATATCATACTTGGCTCGCAGTTGCACCGACAGCGACTGGGCATGCAGCTGCCATTCTTATGCACCCGTGTAAGCGCTGCGCATTTCGGAGCCCCGCTCTTGGAGCTCTTAAGAACCTTGCTCCGAAAAGATACCCTCCACGAGCAATTTCTGTATCTCACCTCATCCCCGAATCCGCTGTCGGAAAGCATAACTGAAAAGTTCCCCAAGCTTCCAGGACCCGCATCGAAATCGCAGCCCGACTTTTATCCATCTCTCACTATTGAAAGATAGCGAGCTCTTATACCAACTTACACCCCCCCTCTTAAACTTACAACATTGGTGAGAAAGGAAATGGCGGAACTGGTGTCGCTTGCCGCTAGTGGCTTCGCCCTTATTCACCTCGGCGTGAAGGTTTATCGGCTTTGCGATGAATACCGCGACGCGGTCGGAGAGAGCGAAAATGATTTCAAGAGACTGGCGGTTGGGATTAGGAGTATTGACGGGCACCTCAAGGAAATACAAATCCTTGCTGCAGAAGGTGGTGAGGACAGCCCACGGTACCCTAGGATTCTTGAGTGGACCAAAAACAACCGTTTGGAAGGTTATTCCAAAGCCCTCAGGAAACTGGAAAAAAGGTTAGATGTTCAGGGATGGAGGAAATCGTCGAGAAAGTATCTTTGGGCTCTTCATAAACCCAAAATGGAGCGCTACCTAGGTCTGGTCGAAGAGCAGAGATCAGAACTTCAGCTGTTGCTGACTACGGTTACAACGTAGGTTCTCTATTCCTCCGTAATGGAAGAATCTAATTTCTCCACTGCTTCTCCTTTCCGGTGGCAAGGCTAACTAGTTGTTCAGGAAGACAGTAACAACAGTGTTGCGAACGCTAGATGGTACTTGGTTACAATATTCCTAACCCTACCAATCATTTTCTTGGCTAATTTCGCATGTTCCTAAAACCCCAGAAAATAAACTCCAGGAAATACAGAAATGGCTTAACGTCGTTGACCCAACCTCCAATTATTCGACTGCACTCGCGCTTCGCGAACCTGGTACGGGGAGTTGGCTGCTCCAGGGACGTGAGTATATGAATTGGAAAGGAGGCAGAGGAGGGGTTCTCTGGCTTCACGGTATACGTAAGTTCACCGACGAGTGAAATCTTATGCGTCTAAGAATATCATTAATATTTGTCTCTTGTAGCCGGATGTGGCAAAAGTGTCTTAAGGTGCGAACTCAACCGGGTACCCGAAGGGGCAATATGATTTCTCAATTGCTAACTCTCGCATTAGTGCCACTGCCATTGAGGATGTTGAAAATGTGTGCAAGTCCAACGACGATCACGCATTAGCATATTTCTACTTTACCTTTAGTGACTCGGAGAAGCAAAATTTGGAGAATATGCTTCTATCCATCATTGGCCAACTTCCAAAACGACCTTCGGAGTTGGGCTTGCCGGCCGAGGTTGTAGATATGTACAACAGCACCGGGGCAATTCGAAAGTCGGCGGGTACGAAGGCTCTGAAAGATGTATTGTCACGGATTATAAAGGGTTTCAAGAAGACCTTTATCATTTTAGATGCCTTGGATGAGTTCCCGAAGGCCATGCGCGGGAGCCTCCTATCTTGGATTGGTGAGCTCAGGGCAGATCATGCTGAGGGATCACTTTCAATTCTTGTCACTAGCCGCCCTGAGGGCGATATAGTAGGGTCACTGGAACGACTTGACCCTTTTACAATATCGCTGCAATCCAGCACCATCGATCCGGATATCCGCGCATATGTACGAAACTCTCTAGCTGGAAAGGATGGTTTCCAGCAATTTACGCAAGGAATCAAGAGTGAGATAGAGGAAAAGCTTGTTTCAGGTTCACAGGGAATGTGTGTTATGCCCAATCATTGAATTTCCACTTATGCTAATCTTGCGGCACGCGTTTCCAGGTTCCGATGGGTAGATTGTGTCCTGCGGGTTGTGGAAGAATGCATAACGCCGACATCTGTGCGGGATGCATTGAGAGAACTCCCGAAGGACTTAGACTCTATCTACGAGAGGATCCTCGATACCATTCCTGAGAAGCAGAAGGAATATATTCGGCGCGCGATGAATTGGCTGGCGTTTTCGGCGGTACCATTGACATTAGGCCAGCTTGCGGAGGCCATTGTGATAAAATACGAAGTCAACAAGTATGGAGAGGATTCGGAAGATCTTTTTGACATGAAGTCCCTCATGAGCATTTGCCCTAGCCTCATTTCCTTTGCAGACGCCGGGGACGATGAATCCTCCACCCAGGAAAGCCGGCGATTACGACTAGCACATTTCTCGGTAAAGGAATATTTGATCTCCGACCGGGCGGCTCAGGCCTCCAGTGCTTACTATCATATCTCGGAAGACAAAGCCAATTTACGTATGGGGCACGCTTGCCTTAGTCGGATGCTACGGCATAGAGGAGAAGGTACTATACGCCATAACAAAGTCGAACGAATGTCGTTTCTCTACCACAGTGCTCGCCATTGGTTCACGTACTTTAGACCAATTGAGTATATGGCGCCTACTCCACTCTCCGAGGCTGCGGTAAAGGTGCTCGAGCTCGGCCAAGCCTGGCTAGATATATATGATCCCAACCATCCCTGGCCGGGTAAACCCGAGGCTTCCGGGCCTTATCCACCAGCAATCTACTATTGCTCCTTGTTGGGTCTAGCGACGGCCTGTAAATTGCTAGTCAACAGAACGGAGGATAAGGTAAATGTGAATGCTGAGGGTGGCGTTTATGGCAATGCACTACAAGCAGCTGTAGAAAGC